AATTAAAAAAAAAAAGAAAGAAATTCTCCTGCCTCAGTCTTGTAAATGGCAAGTAGGGCTGGCCAGATAGTTCAGGGAATTAAAGCGCCTGCTTAGGCTGACGCAGGGACCAGGGTTCCATCCTCAGTGTGCAGCACTGGCCCTGCCCCCAGGGCATGCTGACTGCTTGGGAGGCTGAAAACAGGAGGATCACTATGAGTCTGATCTGTGTGGTGAGACCCTGTAGACCCTGTACTAGAAACATTTAAAAAAAAAAAAAAAAATGAAAGTGGCAAGACTTACAAGCATGGGCCACTATGCCTAGCCCCTTTTTTATGACTCAAGATGGCTAATGCAGGCTCATGCATGCATAGGAAGCATTCCAGAAGTGGTTGTCACAGGGTCTGTGTTGGGCTCAGTAGCAATGAGTTGCATCAATTTTAGTTGGGGATGAAGCAAGGTATTTTTGGATTCAGGTGATATTTTGACGGAATTTTGGGACCGCCTCCAAGACTGACTGAAGACATGATCAGCCTGTTGACAACCAGCAAAAAACTTTACTTAGGAAAGATTCATCCAAGCAGGATGATGCACCCCTGTGAGCCCAGCACTCAGAAGGCTGAGGCAGGAGGACTGCTAGGAATTCAAGGCCAGCCTAGGCTACATAGTGGGTTCAAGGCCAGCCAGAGCTACATAGGAACACTGCCTTAAAAAAAAAAAATTCATTGTAGCAGAGTATAGTGGTGTATGCCTGTAGTCCCTGCTATTCGGGAGCTGAAGCAGGAAGATTGCAAGTTCCAGGTCAACCTGGGGAATTCAGTAAGATTTAAGGTAAAAGGACTGGAGACAGCAGTGGTGGAATGCTTGCCTACCCACAATGCCTAGAACCAGACAATCCCTGGTACCTAAACCTTCTCCTATTTTGTGCTTGGCTCTGGTTCCTTTGTTTTGTGGACTTCTTTGATTTTTTTCTTTTTTTATTTGTTGTTTGTTTTTTGGGGGAGTATTTATTTTGTTTGTTTTAGGTTTGGGGGTTGCTGTTGAGACAGGGTCTCTCTATATAGTGCAGAAGCCAGGACATTGAATTTCCCAAGTGAAAACTTCCAGTTTTTGTATGAGCTCAAAAACACATAGCACCTTGTGCAGGCCTTGCAGTGTCCCTGCAGGCTGCCCCTGCCACTGCACTGGTTGCCAGCGACTCTTGTGAATCAGCCTTGGTCACTCCTCCAGGACAAATGACCTCCCCTGCCTCAGTGGTGCCTTCGGGCGTGGCTTCCTGCACCTCCTGCCTCGTTAGTCTGATGCTTTGTTTCTGTTTTTCAGGACTGCCCACTTTTGTAAGGGGGTGCTGTGGGCCCACGGCTTGAGCCTGCCTGCAGCCTAAAGGACTTGTTCCTGGAAGTAGTGAGGGGACAGCAGCTTTGTCCCCTGGGGCCTCTTGTGGCTTCTTTGCCTTAGTTCCCCTCCTGCCATCTCAGGCCTCTGCCTCAGGCCTACTGCAGAGTGGCCATGCCTGCCGCCTTTTATACTTGGGCACTTGGTGACTCATCCCTCGGCCACCGCCATGGGGAAGTGAAACAGCCGCACCTGGTGGGGCCTGACCTTTGGGTGACAGCAGAATTCGCTGTGCAAACATTTGGGCCCGAGGTGGGGAAGTCCCCTCCTTGCCAGCCTGTAAGGACAGTGGCTGCCTGCCCAGCCCTGTGTGGCCTCTGAGCCTGTGGTTCCAGTAACAGTTTCTCCCCACCTTTCTTGGTGACAGCTGGAAGTCACAGTGGTCACAACCGAGAGAGCCAAGCATTTCTACAGCCCCCAGGACGTTCCTGTCACCCTCTACAGTGACACTAATGAGTGGGAGGTCAGTGCTGGGCCCTGGGCTGAGAGCCATGGCGTGTCCATTGCCAGGACAGTTGTCTTCCTGCAGCCTGTGGCCCTGGCAGCCAGAGCAGATGGGCTGGGCTTGAGTCAGCGGGCAGTGGTGACGCAGAGAACATCTGTCCGGTTCCACTGTCCCTTCCGTCCTGCAGAGCTCAGCGCTGGCTGCCTGGGGCTGAGCGTCCTTGTGCTTATCAGGCTGATGAGACCACAGAGCGCTCTGTTCCCACCACCCTGGCCATGTGGCTGTGGTGAGGCCTGGCTTCCCAGGGCTGCTGAGCGTGGGCCTCCCTGCCAGGCTTTCTAAACATTCCCAGCCTTGGGCGCCCCGGCAGGCTCTGTGCCCCTCCCCAACCCTCCATTTCTCACCACCCCCAGCCTTCTGGCTGGGACAGCCCAAGCCTCCCACCTCTTGCAGCCGCCTGCCCGGGGTTCCCTGCCAGATGTCAGCTCTCTGAAAACCAGACCATAAAGGGAATAGGGCGGCAGGACAAGGGGTGTTTGTTTCCTCAAGCCTGGATTCTGTTGGGCTGCGGCTGCATGACTGCTGCTTGCCAGTTTAGCTACAGGAAGGGATGATGTGTAGCTGGGTGTGGTGCTGCACTCCTGTCATCCCAGCACTCCGGCAGGCAGAGGCAGGAAGATCGCTGTGAGTTGGAGGCCAGTTTCAACTACACAGTGTGATCCTGTCTGAAAACCAAGAATAGGGCCGGGGAGTTGGCTCAGTGGAATAAGCGCTTCCCTGGCAAGTGCAAGGGCCTGAGTTCAATCCCCAGTTCCGCAAAAAAAAAAATCAAGAAAAGGAGGGGGGAGTGACTCAGGTGGGAGGTCATACGGCCCTCTGGGTTCCAGGTCCACAGTGAACATGGCCCTCTCTGTGACCCTTTCCTCCCTCCCAGATGTGGAAGCACCGCTCTGACCCGGTTCTGCACATTGAACTGCGGCGATGGGCAGACCTGATGCTAGTGGCTCCTCTAGACGCCAACACTCTGGGGAAAGTGGCCAGTGGCATCTGTGACAACTTGCTTGTGAGTGACTCCCTGGCACCCTCATCCCTCCCCAGGTGTCCTTGTCACTGGGACCCAGGTTTGCTCAGGACAATGCAGTCCCCCTGCCCCCTACACTTGTGCCACCCGATGTCCAGGCAGAAGACACAGCCCAGTGGATGGATGGTTTGGGTGCCATGGTGCTACTGGGGTGTCCAGTGTCCCTGACTCCCTTCATCTCTTGTCATGGGCAGTCCTCAACCTGCTCTTCCTCCTCTGCCTTGTCCCAGGGAACCGGGTACATGGGGGGCAACCTAATACAGGCACCCACTGCCTCACACAGAGTGGGCTGTGTCGTAGCTTTAGCCCTAGGGTCCAGATTCAGTTTCTGTAGTATTAGGACACTTAAAGAGGAGAGGGACATGTCTGACTATGCAGGGTAAGAATCAGCCCTCCAGGCCAGGGAGATGGCTCAGTGGAATAAGCACTTCCCTGGCAAGCTCAAGGGCCTGAGTTCAATTCCCAGTTCTGAAAAAAAAAAAAATAATAATAATAATAGCCCTCCAAGAGAAACTTCCTTGCTTATTAAAGCATCCAGGGAAGGTTTGGGAATGATTGTTCTTCCTGTCTCCATCACTAGACCCCACCTATTGAGCTTTCACCTCTTGAGTCACACTGATGACCTCAGCAGGGCTTAGTCTGGACAGATGGGGTTTGATCCTCATGAAGGCAGGAGAAGACTGTCCCCTGGAGAGTGGTGTGCTCCTTGATAGCTGCAATCAGGCCTGGGCATCCTGGATAAATGGGGCCTGCATGTTGTGGGAAAGAACTTTTACTTCTTTATTTTTATTTTTATGTATTTGGTACAGGGCCTACAGGGTCTCACTACCCAGATCCAACTCATGATTCTCCTGTTTTCAGCTTCCCAAGCACTGGGATTACAGGCTTGTGCCACCATGTCCAGTCTCCATCACCATCTCAGTGCGCCCCTGGGGTGGGGCTGGCACAGCATGCCGGGGATCAAACCCTTGCTGCTGCACTCTGCCTGAGCAGGCGCTTTAGTCTGCTGAGCTATCTGGCTGGCCCTAAGAACTTTTACTTCTGCAGATCATTGAGAGTTTGGTGAGATGATGGGGGTGAATCCCAAAGTAGGTCAGGATTTGGAGGGCCAGATGTGGGATTGGTGCTCTTGGCTGCTTGTCCGTGGGCTCCTGTGATGCTTCTCAGGGAGCCTGATGGTGACAGGAGCACAGGGTGACTAGAGCGGCTCAACCAGATGGCATGGCTGGGAGTGGGGAGGAGGCACAGCTGAGGCCCTGCCACACCGACAGAGGAAGCAGAGCAGAGCGAGTGCGGGCCACCACTGCTCCAAGCCCCCTACTTGCCCTACCTTGTGATTGCACAGACCAGCCTCAGAGAGGAGCCTGGACTGCTTTCCCTTTCTTTTTTTTTTCTTTTTTTTTGGTGAAACCTGGGATTGAACTCAGGCCCTTGCACTTGCCAAGGAAGTGCTCATTCTACTGAGCCATCTGCCTGGCTCCCTCCCTTTCTTCTTTGAAGCAGCCATCACCCCTGAAATCTTGGGGTTCTCTCCTCCAGGGATGCTGGGCAGTGGGACACATTCCCAGAAGGCACCTTAGCTTCTAAAGCTTTCACTGGAAAGCACAGATGTTTCCCAGCATCTCAGATGGTACAGCATTTGAGCTGTTGGTACCCTTGATGTGTGGCCTTCCTTGTCTTCTCTCTGTAGATGTCCCATCCATCCATGAGAGGAAGCTTTGTTCCTTTTCATCCTTTCTTGATGGTACCCTGAGATTTGTATGGCCCATGGCTGGCAGTCAGAGGCAGGAAAGGAAGGTGACTGCCTTAGGCTACAGGTCTGGGGGTGTGGATTCAGCCTCCCACCTAGCAGATTCCCAAAGGCACAACCCAGGGTGCTGGCCCTGCACCCACCCCTTGGCTGTGGGAACCAGGCCCTGTCCTCCCTCCTGCTGCGGTTTTTTCAGGAAGTGCTGGGACTCCACAAGGAGAGGCGGAGCTGTCACGTTTCTGCTTAGAGCCCCAGCCTGGCCCTGCCCCCCAGCGCAGTCAGGGGCTTCCAGGGACCTTGTGGCCTCTAAGAAGCAGCAGGTGGCCTGGGGCCAAGAGGAAGTGTTAGTGAAACTATCCACTGCTAGTCTGGGTGTGCACTGAGAGAACTTGGTGGGAAAGCAGCAGAGCTCTGATGTGAGCAGCCAGACGCTGAGGCCGCCCCGCGAAGGGCAGGCAGTGGCCCCTTCCCAGCACCATGCCCTGGGCTCTCCCTCCTTTCCCAGATGGACTCCATTTCCGGGAGGAGGTTCCAACCCTGTCTCTCTGGGGAGCTCCCATGTCCTGCAGGCCTCCCAGTGCAGCAAGTCTGCGTCTGTAGCCCAGACAGGAGCTGTCCAGAGTCACACCTCAGTTCATGGCCATCTATGGAGGGGGCTGTTTGCAAAGCAGCTGGGGTCCTGGCGTTAAATGACCTGCCTAGTTCATTGCAACAAGAGATGAGGACTCAGATCCACAGGACTTGAAGGCCCAGTGTTGAGCTCTGTAAGCCAGTTGGGCCCTGGCCTGTGATTTGGTTGGGAGAACTGGAGAGAGCTTTGGAAGCCTTGAGGCTGCCCAGTGCAACAGATCTGTGTGGCCACATCCACATCCAGGTGTGGCCCTGCACAGCTGTGCATCCTTCAGGGAACACCTATCCATGAGAGGATGCAGTACCTTCCTTACAGGGATCAAGCGAAGCTTCCTAAGATAACATGTCAGGGGCAGTTGTCACTGTTGGGCCTTTAATTAGCAGGGCTTTCTTGACTCAACAGTAGAGCTGGTATCTGAGTATGGTGGCAAACACTTGTGATTCCAGTACCCAGGTGCTGAGGCAGGAGGGTCCCTGAGAGTTCAGGGCCAGTCTGGGCTACATAGTGAGTTCAAGGCTAGCCTGAACTACATAGTAACACTCAGTCTCAAAAAATATAAAATAATAAAAGAGGTAGAGCTGGTGTGAGGTCCTCTCTCCTCCATGAATACTCAGTCCCCACTTGCTGGTGACCACAAAGCCAGTCCCTGCTTCCCAGGGCTGCTCCCACCTAAGAGGTGATAGCCAGCGGGGAAGATTGACTGAGGCGCCAGGCAAGTCCTGTCATGCCATACCTACCCCTGGGCTGCTGGCCATAGGTGGGAGGATCGTGGGAGGAGGGATTGGGGAGGGGGTAGCAGCCCTACAGCAGGACGCCCCTTCTTCCCAGACCTGTGTCATTCGGGCTTGGGACCGCAACAAGCCCTTGCTCTTCTGCCCTGCCATGAACACAGCCATGTGGGAGCACCCGATCACTGCACAGCAGGTGGGCCAGCTGAAGGACTTTGGCTACACTGAAGTTCCCTGTGTGGCCAAGAAGCTGGTGTGTGGAGACCAAGGTGGGTGCCTGGCGGGCCATAGTCCAGGCTGTGGAGGGGCTCAGTTTTGGGTCATCGTTCTGGCCTGTTGTGGCTCTCCTCTCTTGGCTGGAAGATGGGAGCTCAAATCTCCCAAGGTTAAGATGAGGTGGGTGATGATGTCAAGTGCCTGGCACATGCAGTTAAGGGTTCCTCACACCTGTTCTAGGTCACTGGGTGGGGTGCCTGGGCAAGCATGGGCCATAGAAGAACTTTGCTTCCAGGTCTAGGGGCCATGGCGGAGGTGGAGACCATTGTGGATAAAGTGAAAGAAGTCCTCTCCCAGCATCGTAGCATCCACTAGTGTTGAACTTGGCCTTCTGTTATGGGCATTGTCCTGCCTCAGTGTGTTTTCAGGCTGGAAGGAAAGAGGAGGTTAGCTGAATCTGGTGAAGGCTCCAGTGTTTGCTGAGAAGGTATCTGGCCTGTGTCTGCTTGGAGCTTTCCCAGGGACCTGACCTGCTCCAGGCCAGACTGGACTGAGGGCTCAGGCCCCACCTTCTTTGAATAACAGATGCCTGCTTTTTGGGATCCCTCCTCATCGCTTCCTGGAATGAGCACAGCAAGCCAGTGAGGCTGTTCTTGTTCCCTTGGGAGGGGAACTCAGGGACTGGGAGATCTTGATTCCTCTTTTCCCCCAGGAATTGGTTTTGGGAACACCATGGCTGGAGATTACTGGCTTGGTGGCCCTGGACATTCTTTGGTGGAGAGACAAGATGTCATACAGAGGTGGCAAGATGATCAGATTCCCATACACCATCCTGTGAGATTGAGAGTGCTGGAAAATAAAGAAAAATGACTTTGTAGTAGACTTATCTTTCCTTGCGGTCTCAGAGATGAAGGGCATTGCCAAATAAACCTGGAGAAGGATCTGGGCTACTGACTGACTAGCATTCTCTTGTCTCCATATCTTATGGGTGCGTAAGGATAGAGAACTCTGAAGTTAGCCAGCATCTAGTTCCAATGCCAGTTCAGCCACTCACTAGCAGTGGACCTTGGTTTAGGACCTCACTTCTCCGACCTGCATCTGTATTAACATCTTTTCCTGAAGGAGCTACTGAGAGAATTGAGATAATGTGTACAGAACACTGTCCACCTTACCTACTGGAGATAACAGTCCAGGACTCCTGGTGTATCACTAAGGGTATGTTGGGAATTGGCCAGGCCCCACCCAGCACAGGCTTAACTTGTAAAGGGTAAATTCCTTTGAAAGACTGCTTTAAGAAGAGAGTCCTAGGGGGCTGGGGAGATGGCTCAGTGGAATAAGAGCTTCCCTGGCAAGCACAAGGACCTAAGTTCAATCCCCGGTTTTAGGAAAAAAAAAAAAGAGAGTCCTAGTGGGCTGGGGAGATAGCTCAGCAGCATAAGAACCTGCCTATGAAGCACAAGGTCCCAAGTTCCATCTCTGGTAGTGCAAAAAGGAAGAGAAAGAGACAGAGGCATAGAGAGAGACAGAGACAGTCGTATAATGGGCTATATACTCAGAGCTGCCAAAGAAAGTGCCCCAGATTTAGTCATCTGGCTCTCAGAGGCTACTGCAGTCATTTTCCAAGGGGGCCCAGCTACAGCACTGCTGGTAGCAGATTTTGGTGTGGGTTTTTCAGAGAGAGAGATTGTAGAAGTTGTGGGGTCTCAGAGGCTTCCAGCCAAATTTCAATGGAAGGTCTGGGAGACTAGGTGATGTGGTGTAACAGGGTCACAGTCCCTGCCAGGAGCCTCCCAGAGGGTGATAAATGAAGTGTAGGAAAGAAGCCAAAGCTATTATAGAGACACAGGAAGTTGGAAATATTCCATGAACATCAGGCAGTGGGCAGAGCCAATCCAAGAGAGAGGCCATGAGGGCTGCAGCCCGGAAAACCATAGGAGTAGAGCTGTCCAAGCCTTTTGGATTATGTACCTCACCACAACCTGTCCCAGTGCTGGACATAGAGCTGCAGTATCCCTGGCCCTAGAGAAGATTTGCTTTTATTTCATTTTATATATTTTGTACAAGGTCGCACTACACAGTTAGGACTTGTAGTGAACCTCCTGTTTTCAGCCTCTCCAGTGCTGGGATTATAGGCATGTACCACCACGCCTGGTCTAAGTTGCAGGCTCAGTGTGCCCCGGGGGTGGGGCCAGCTAGGCATGTGGTGCTGGGGATCAAACCCCAGTCCCTGTGCTTGCCAAAGTAGGCACTTAGTCTGCTGAGCTATCTCACCGTCCCTTAGAGAAGACTTTAGACTTGGGCTTTTGAGCAGTGCTGGGACTGCTGAGATTCTTGGAGGGAATTAATGTGATTTTGGTTGCATTCAGCAAAGTTCACCTCATGTTAGACAGAACTCTGGCCTTGTTATATCTTTATGTGGAGACTAAGTGTGGTTTAAGGAAATATGTATCAGTGTCACATTGACATGCAATAGAATGTGATAGCTAGGCTTGGTTGTCAGCTCTCTTGGTTCCAGAGATACCTGGATTAGGGAGACACACTTGTGGGTTTGTCTGGTGGGTTGTGAGGTTCCAGCTTTGGGGACTGTGTCTGGTCCCTGACTCTCTTTCCCTGAACTTTGCTTCCTGGCTGCAGTGGGTTGAGCCACTTTGCTCTGTACACCCTTCCGCCCTGACGTTTCTGCCATGCTATGGATCTTCTGAAACAGTGAGCAAAACGTAGCCTCTCCTACCTTAAGTAGCAGGTGTCGGGTGTTTCATCCCATTGAGTGAAGGTGACTGATACGCAGTGGACGGATGCAGAGTACTGGACTTGTGTTTTCTACGTCCCCCACCCCATGCATACTTAACCTATGGCAGTGCTTAATTTATAGATTGAGCACAACAAGAGATCAATAGTAGCAAATAACTGTCAGATCTGACTGAGAAAAACCTTCCCAATAGACATGGTACCCTCTACAAACAACAGGAATCCATACTGCCCTCAGCAAACAGAACTGAAGGCCATAAAGAAATTTAGGACTGGACCTGCAGTCTCCTGGACCTCCAGAAGACCCAGCTTTATATGCACAGCTGTGCTGATGCCCTTGCAGATTTGACCTCAAACATTCCATCCAAATTCCTTGGGACTACAACCCCCTACCCCAAACCCTATATATACTTAGCCCACCCTCCAGATATTTGTTATCGCTATCGTTTCAGCCTACTTATATCTAGACGAAATTAAATCTAGCCTTTCCCAGTCTTGATCTCCAGGTGCATCCTCACATTAATAATAAGATAAAACAATTACATATATATGCAATTACATATATGTGTAATAAGCTGATGGTACGTGCCTGTAATGCCAGCACAAGACCTTGTCTCCAGCAAACAAAGGTTTCTGCTGGTACCCTCATGTAAGGCAGTATCTTAGCCTATCCCTGTTCCTCTAACAGAGCACCCAGGGCATTGGCAATTTATAAAGAGGTCTACTGAGCTCCACTTCTGAAGGCTGGAAGTTCCAGGTCAGCTGGCCGCACCTGCCTGGCTTCTCCTGGGGGCCCTGTGCTGCTCTGTGCTCAGCAGAAAGTGGAGGAGCAATCAGGTCTGCACCAACATAAGGGGAAGCTTTGCCAAGAACAGCCGGCTTTTGCAGTAAGCAATCTAGTCACCCCAGACTGCAAATTCTGTGCACGGTGCCAGCCCAGCCTTACAGGCTCTATCCCCTTGCCAAATACCTCCTACCAGGCTTACCCCCAACACTGCCACAATGAGGAATTAAGCCTTTAAGTGAGTTTTAGTGCAGACAAAGTGACCGGGAAGATGAAGTATGACCCAGGAAGGAGCTGGTAACCTCACTTCCTCAGTCCTTGGCTCTTCGTGCCCTTAATGAAAAAATTCAGTCCAGATGCATGGGCTGTGCAGTAGTCTGGGCAGTTGGCTGTGAAGCAGAGTTATAGCTTTGAGCAAGAAGGTGGTCGGTGCTACAAAGGCTTCTGCTCCAAGAGTGAGTTTGGATTCATTTTTAGGTACCCAAGAGTTACCACTGGGGTCTGGAGAACTGGGATAATTATGCCACTTATCAGCATTTTACTTAGAAGTTACTTAGGAATTGAAAAATGTCTTCCTGTCCTTTTGAGATGGTCAGTGACTCCTCAGGGGCTTTTTTTTTTTTTAATTTTATTTTTATGTATTTAATACAGGGTCTACAGGTCTCACTACACAGATTGGACTCGTAGACATCCTCCTGTTTTCAGCCTCCCAAACACTGGGATTACAGGCAAATGCCACGATGCCCAGTCTCACTGACTCAGCACACCCCAGGGACAGGGCTGACACTCCATGGTACACCAGGGATCAAACCACAGTCCCTGCGCCTGCCTAAGCAGGCGCTTTAGTCCGCTGAGCTATCTGGTTGGCCCTCTGGTGCTTTAATCTTTTTTTTTTTTTTTTTTTTGCAGAACCAGGGATTGAACTCAGGCCCTTGCTCTTGCCAGGGAAGCACTTATTCTACTGAGCCATCTCCTCGGCCCCTGGGGCTTTAATCATGAAGCAACTCAGGAGAATAATTTCAGCTAGGCCCCATTCCAAGGCTTTAGATAACACTTCCCTTCCAGGTAGCACTGGGCTGGAGGAAGGAGGTAAAAGTGGGGACTGAAACAGCGTGGTGACAATGGCGCATGAGCGCTGTCCTGGAAAGGACAGACATATCAGGATCTGCGGCTCAGGAACAAGAGAGTAGAAGAAGGCTTTGCATGTGCTTGGATCTGAGGTTATATAGAAACACTCCTAGGGAGTTCCCGGGTCTCAGGGGAGTGCAGGGAGTGATTTCTGGAGGGACGGCCTTGAAGCCTGAGCTCAAGTGGGAGTGGTTTCCTCAGCCCTCATAGCAGCAGTACCCCATCTGTAGGGACCCCATCCCCCACTCCTGGTCCTATTAGTCCCTCTATCTAGCAAGGCTCTTCTCTCTTTTTCTTTTGTTTTGTTTTTGAGGTAAGTTCTCGCTGAGTGTTCCAGGCTGACCTTGAACTCACTGTATAACCCAAAGAGCCCTCAGCCTCTCAGAGATCCTCCCGAGTGCTGGGATAACAGGCATCCTACCTTTCAATCTCCTACCTTTCTTGTCATTTTTTTTTTTTCATTTATGTATTTCATATAGGACCTTACTATGCAGCCCAGACTTGCAGTGATCCTTCTGTTTTCAGCCTCCCCAGCACTGGGATTACAGGGTAAGCCATCCCACGCCTGGACTCTGTCAGGGCTCAACCGGTGGCACAGGATCTGAACCCTGGTCCCTGTGTTTGCCAAAGCAGGCACTTAGTCCTCTGAGCTATCTCACTGGCCCGATCTTTTTTATTTTTATTGTTTTTTGTGATCCTCCTCTCTCAGCCTCCCCAGCGCTGGGATTACAGGTGTGCACCACCATGCCCAGTTTCGGTAGCAGGCTCAGCAGCAAGGTACACAGTACCAGCCATCAAACCTGAGTCCTTGCGCTTGCCAGGCAGGCACTTAGACCACTGAGCTATCTCCCTCACTCTCATGCTCTTTTTTAGATTCCCCATAGTTGGGAGAACTTATCTTTCTGGGTCCAGCTTATTTCACTCACTGTGTAATCTCCAGTTAGGCCAACTTCTGACAGGGGAAGCGAGCTGTTAGTGTTCCTGCTAGGAGGTGGGATGTGTTATTATCCAGTTTCCCTGAGAACAGAATGTGCAGGGACACTCCTTTGGAGTTGTCTTTCTTGTCCCTGCCCTTTGCCCTTGCAAGGCTGCTGCTCCTTCCCAATCCTACTGCTGGAGTTCTGTCCCTCCCTAGCTTTCTAAATCCTGAAGAGAAGCCTTACAGACACACCAAGAGGTTATCTACTTAATCTTCAGCTCCACAGAGCCTGCTCAGTGAGGG